AAATTCTCTGGGGTTTTAAGTAGTCTGTGTTCTGTTGCGTGGCCTTATGAACCATGTAGTGAGATGAGCTAGTTTTACATAGTCTAAGGAGAAAGTGGGTGTGGGTGACACTTTTAACAGTTTCTAGCATGCAGTAAGAACTCTTGGTTTTTCCAGACAGGGTTTCTCTGTGTAACCTGTCCTGGCACTCGTTCTGTAGACCAGGCTAGCCTTGAACTCACAGAGATCTGCCTGCCCCTGCCCCTGCCACCTGAGTGCTGGCATTAAAGATGTGGGCCCAGAAAAGTAAGAACTCTTTAGGTGTCTGCCATGTTGGTTTTCCTTGTCATTCATTCTGTAGGTGCTCTTAGGTCACATAGACCATGAAAGTTTTTTTTATGGGAAGAAATGTGTGGCATAGGAACTCAGTAATCTTAGGAAGGCTAATTTAGTAAGCTGATTGTGACTGTTCCATAAAGTTGGAGCAAGGTGAAATAATTGTATATAGCCAAAGTAGTAGTTGCCAGTTGCTGTCCAGAGAAATAGGTTGTTCCTGGTATTAGGTGCTTGTTTCCTATCCTAAAAATTCAAAAAGTTTCAGTTTTTAGCTCTCTGGCTTTTCAGGGTTAGAATTTGGAAGATCTTATAGTTTTAATAAACTACAGTAACTTCTTGGGAGTGTTTTTGCAGTGACTCCGTCTGACTCTTCTTAGGTTTTAGTTACTAAGTCAGAAGTCTGAGTTCAGTTTTATGCCCCGATTGAGTTATGTTCCATTTTCTGTTAAATGTGCCTTCAAAGTAAGTTTTTAAATTTGACTATATTCTGTGTCCTTAAGCATCACCCTAATCACTAGGGCCTAATGCAAGCAGTATGCTTCCCTGTGCATTAGTACAGAGGCCTCCCCAGTCTCCCATTACCCACCCATCCCTGTTAACAAGGGCACTTGGGTTTAGGGTTCCTTTAGAAAACTAAAGGGATTGAGGATGGGCCATGCATAGGATCTCCAGTTCAGTTCCACATGCCTACTCCTGACTTTTGTTTAATTTTCTCTATAAATTAGAACTCTGCTACAGGCAAAACAGACACAATTCTCTCTTCTGGCTTTGTCCAAATCTATAACTAAATTGATTTTTTTTTTTTTTTTTTTAACATTCATGTAAGTGAGTTGTTGACCCCAGAGAGCTAGGCCAGCATGGCTGTCTTAGTCAGTGTTCTGTTGCTGAGAAGAGACACTGACCATGGCAACTCTTGTAAAGGAAAACATTTAATTGGGGGCTGGCTTACAGTTCAGAGGTTTAGTCCATTTTCATCATGGCAGGAAGCATGGTGAAGCACACGCATACATGGTGCTGGACAGGGGCTGAGAATTTGTTCTACATCTGGGTCCTCAAGTAGCAGGAAGGAAGAGAAACATACAGACTTGAGCATCTGAAACCTCAAGGCCACACCTCCTAATAGTGTCATCCCCATGAGCCTATTGAGGGGGAGGGACATTTTCATTCAAACTACCACAATGGCCGAGAGCTGGAATAATGACACTGCTGTGTGATTAGCAGTCAGAGAAGCCAGTTTTGTTGTTGTTATTTGGGTTTTTGTTTTTAATTAGGTGTATCTGTATGTGGATGTGTGCCAGTGGAGGCCCTAGAGTGGGTGTTACAGGTGGTTATTAGCTGCCTATGGGTGCTAGTAACCAAAGCTGAGTTCTCTGCAAGCATAGTGTACATTCTGTATGCTCAGTATGTGCAAAGCACGTATTTGTTTACTGCTTTGCTTTAATTTCTGATTTTCCAGGCTGGAGAGATTGTTCAACATTTCACAGAACATGCTAGCCTTCCAAAAGATATCCACTTGGGGCTTGACTGTAACATCAGCTCCAGGGTATCTGACACCCTCTTCTGACTTCCACCCACACACAGACACACATATACATAGTTACAAACTTAAAAATTAAGAGTTTGAATGCATAAAAATCATATACTATGACAAACAAGTATGATTTGTATCTAATATAGCATTATAAGCATGTTTTCAAACACTTTCTTTGTGATTAGAAAAATATTAAAAACCTATGGTTTCTCCTAACCTTTTAATGTGCAGGTTTTTCTGAATTAATTATTCTGTATAGTGGTATTAGGAATTTGTGCCAAATATCTGTTGAGTGGTTTATGAAACAGCAGTGATCAATAAATAATACTGTATTTCTTACACCAAGCATGATGGCATACACCTTGAATCTCCCAGCTCTTGAGAGGCAAAATCAGGTGGAACTCTGTGAGTTTGAGGTCAGATGGGTCTACATGTCTGAACCTTGTCTCAAAAAAAAAAAGCAAAATAAAGACCATTGTATTCCCTGATTACAGTGTCTTAGAAATAACACTGTACTTTTTAGTGTTCTGAAAAAGATAAGACCTAGTCTTAGACACTGTTAGAACACAGAAACATGTAGCTTTCTTCTCATTCAGCCTAACACCTCTGTCTGTAGTTGGCTACTCTGCCTTATGAACTGAGTATTTTCAAATTCTATCAAAAACCCAGATAATCCTTGTGTTGATGTTGAAAGTGTGGTAAAGCCAGCCGTGTTTAATTTAGAGCATTGTTAGTAATAAAATAGAGTTGCAAATTGTTCTGGCACATCATGAGATAATGTTAAATGAATTATTTAGTGTTAAATAAAAAAAACCTGTTAAACTGTTTTAAACTATTCATGGTTAATGAAAATATTTTAAGATTAAGTTCTTTTGAAATGTGTTGTTTTCAGTCCATAGATTAACCTTTTGAATTTCGAGTCATAGGATGTCCTCTTTTAATTAAAACAAAACTCTGGGAATTGACTTTTTTTTTTAAGGTATAATAGAAAGGTTAAATTTTTGTATGAGCTCTTTCTTTAGAAGAAAACAACAGTGTGTTCCTTTGTTTAAAATATCTGATGCCTTGAGAATAAATATGACACAAACCCTGATGATGAAAATGACTTTTAGAATTGAAAGGAGAGTGTGCCTCATGAACATGAATCAGAGTGCAGAGACTACAGATAAATCCAGGCTGCAGGTGTGGCAAGAATAAGCTGCCATTTATAAAGAGCACGTGTGTGCCTAAGTGCACTGAAACTTGGGTAAAGGGGGCAATTGGTGTGGAGAAGATAAGGGCTGGTGCTGCCTCCTCCTTTTGTCTCCAGAAGAGTCATGGAGGGAGGAAGCAGGGAAGGTGGTCTGATGGCAATGTAGGGATTTCTGCCTGGAGGGGCCAGTCCCCTGTGAGGTGGGTGGGAAGGAGGTGGCTACAGTCAGAGCACGGGTGTTATGTTTAGAAACACATTGCCACTCAATTGTGCCTGTTTTGTTTTGCCAAGGAGTTAGTTACACATGCCTAGATCCTATACTTTGTGGACATTTCTTGTCTGTCTCCATCACTCTTCAGACTGAGAGGTCTTCCCCCCAGTCCTTCAAGACAGCTTCCCTTAGAAGAGTGGAGTGTCCTTTTTGCCTTCCCTATGACCCTGAGCTGCACTATACTGGCTTACCCTCATACACCTTGCAGTCCCCTTCTCTCCATGCCACAGTCAGCTGACTGAATGCTGCCTTCCCTGTCCTCAGGACTGCTGTTAACTGACTATAACATTTGCTTAGTTAAATCTGGGTTGATCCTTTAACCAAATTGGGGTATTTTCTCTTAATTTTTCTTCTGGTTATAGAAGTCATAGGTATTTATTATAGAGATTTGAGAAAACTCAGCAAAAAAAAAAAAAAAAAAAACATAATCTTAAAATGTGCTAACTTTGATCTTTTCCCACCTTTCAGGTACTTCCACATATAAAAAAACAAAAACAACTGAGGCTGGACAAATAGTTTAGCAGTTAAAAGAACATACTGTTCTTCCAGAGCATCTGAGTTTAGTTTCCAACCACTTAAAACTCCAGCCCCTTGCAGTTCAACACCTTTGGTGTCCTTGGCCCCCACATACTGACATACACATGTGCGCGTGCGCACACACACACACACACACACACACACACACACACACACACACACACACAGTGATAACACGAATACATAAAAATAAATTAAAAAAAAAAAACCTCCAAGAGCCAAGGTGTTTCCTAGCTTGGCTCTTGGTTTCTTGGTGGTATCCATTGCAGCCGTTAATTCCTCAAAGCCCTGAGTGGATCTCTCGGTGAGGTTCATAAGGGATAAGCCCAGGTATTTTTCCAAAAATACTTTTATTTCATGCTTATTCTTCAACTAGAAGTTAGCCAGATATGGTAGGCAATTTTCTGAGGTGTGTTACATTTTGTATTCTGATACCCTGCTGGTGAAAAATATAAAGGTACAATGATAATACCCTCTGTGTCTTTAAAAATAGTCACTTTTGTGAGCTGTACTTTCTCCCTCTTAAAACAGACTTTTAGATTTACTGTGCTTATAAACCAAGTGGGTTCATTTTTAAGAAGCAAATTTAGTATACAAATGAGGACACAATAAAAATCCTAAAGTCATTGGTGTGTTTGTGATTTTTTTTCTTTCTGAAGGCAGTATTTTGAGTCACATTTAATTCAGATAGAGTTCAGCAGTGTTCCAGACCAGTGCAGTCGAGGTTTCTGTAGTGACAGAAATGGTTTGAGCATCAGTGTCTGGTCACTGAACAGTGAATGTATGTTTGTTTATTTATTTATTTATTTATTTATTTATTTATTTATTTATTGCTCACCTTTATTTCTTGTCAGGATAGTGGAAGCTTTGGATTGATCAGCTGATGAATTTTAGACAATAATCATTCAAGATTGTTTTGCTGGATGAGTTTAATTTGCCCATGGTACACAGTTTCAGAACTACATTCAGGACTGTAATGACAACTTGTATGGGGCTAGTTTTTACATTGTAGTCATTCTTCTGTGTTTCTAACTATTAAGGTAAATCTACTGTGCTATTCTGAGCTTACTTGCTTACATGTTACTAGTAATTGGCATAATTCTACAGGATCTACTCTACTAACCAGTGTGTTAACAATGTCTTCTTTTTTTCAGATTGCAAATAGAAGAGTCTTCCAAACCTGTAAGGCTATCACAACAGCTGGACAAAGTTGTAACAACCAATTACAAGCCTGTTGCTAACCATCAATACAATGTAAGTCTTCTGTGTGTCTTTCATCGGTATCCTTGTTCTTCTCAGTGCCACAGATCCTTAGGCTCCAGACCTTTGCAATCATGCAGCTTGCTGTGACCTGTGCTAAGCATGGAAAGGAGCTTGATCTATATCTGGAGCTACATGGCAGAAGTGAACCACTGTCCAAATTGTTCTTGATCAGGTTTTACAGAGAGATAATAACACTTTATTCTCGATGTCTCTAATCACAACATATTTTGTGAATACAGATTTACTAATTTTTTTGTTTTCTGTATCTATATGATTTGCTGTATCAGTTTTAGTGTGTCCTTTTTTTAGGGGGGGAAGGGGGGTTGGTTCAAGACAGGGTTTCTTTGTGTGGCTTTGGAGTCTGTCCTGGAACTAGCCCTTGTAGACCAGCCTGGTTTCAAACTCACAGAGATCCACCTGCCTCTGCCTCCTGAGTGCTGGGATTAAAGGCATCACCACCACCCGGCTTAGCATGTTCATTTTTTAAATGCTACTTTTAAACATTAATCTTAAGGGTTCTGGAGCAATGGTGGTTGTCACAGGCATTTTTATGGTCCTTCACTCCTATACAAAGTGGGGACTGCCCACTTTGAAGTGTGTGTATAGAACAATTTATGATAGAGATGTAATTTATCCTCTTATGTATGGAAGAATATGAAAGAGACTGAGCCAAGGGACTTAGCTCCAGTATCCTTCTCCAACAGAAACTGAGCTAAATGTGTGTGTGTGTGTGTGTGTGTGTGTGTGTGTGTGTGTGTGTTCGTTACTTTCATCACTACTACCTTTTGAAGTAGAACTACTATTATGTGAGTAAAACTGACCAGTTCAAATTTTCAACCCAAGCAGTCTGCCTTAGGAGCTATGCTGGCTAATTTTATGTCAGCTCAATACAAGCTTGGGTCTGTTGGGAAGCAGGAGCTTCATTGAGAAATTGCCTCCCCTGTAGTGGCCTATGGGCAAGTCTGAGGTCCATTTTCTTGATTGGTGATTGATGTGGGAGGGCCCAGCCCATTGTGGGTAGTGCTATTCCCGGGCTGGTGGTCCTAAGTGCTATAAGAAAGCAGGTTGAGCAAGCCATGGAGAGCAAGCCAGTAAATACCATTCCTCCATGGCCTCCTCATAAATTCTTGCCTCTAGGTTCCTGCCTTGAGTTCCTTGGATGATGCACTACAAGTTAAAAGAGTAAACCCTTTCCTCCCCAAATTGCTTAGGACCATGGTGTTTCATCTCAGCAATAGAAACCTCAACTAAGTCAGGAACCAAATGCTTACCTACTATTTGTGTTAACTGTAGAGTGTTAACGGTCTAAAGGAGCACAGGGAAAGGTGACTAGTTCCTGAAGGTAAACACAAGTCTAAATAACACTTAACAGATAGAATCTTGTGTCCTGTGCTTTTGGCTGATTTCCTTTTGGTCTCAGTTTGGGAAAAATAAAACCTCCGTAAGATGGGCCTTAAGCACCCAGTGCCACAGAATGGTATCCAAGTTCCTTGTGCTTATTTTGTGTAAGATAGCAAATGCCTCCAAAGCTTTAAAAAAAAAAAAAAAAAAGCATGTTCAGTGGGCAGAAGACTCAGATCTGCTCACACATTACAATTCACTACACTGACTAGATTAAAGGAAGCAGGCAGCAGTTCAGCTGTGTAGGCCCTGGTTGCACCTTAGGGGGAAAGTAAACCTAAGAGGAGGACCAGGAAGCTAAGTGGAGTCAGCAGTGTTAGGTAATCTAAGAGAGCTGGTTTTCTGTTGTCTGCTGATTGAGACAAGTAAATGAAAAGCAGTTGAGTTCTCCCTTTGCAGGAGGAAGGAGCTGAGCTCTAGGGAAGAGTGTCTGTAGCCATCCCATGTCAGAGATGTCTTCTCTGGGTAACAGGTGTTTCTTGTGCCTGAGAAGGAATCCCCTGGTGACCTGACTATCTGAGCCACCACCTCTTCCTGTTCTCATCCTGTGCCTTCCGTAGATCTCAAGTTGGGGCATGGTGAACATTTCCTTTGAAGAAGGGAGCACAGCTTTCTGTAGTATTAACCACCACTTCCCCCCTTTTTCCCCTGCAAATCTTGAAGAAGGGAGCACAGCTTTCTGTAGTATTAACCACCACTTCCCCCCTAATTCCACTGCAAATACCCCCTGGGCTGCCATAGGCCATAGACCATTAGTCCAAAGATGAAAGGCAAGGCCCCTCTAGGAGGATTGAAGCTGGAGCTTTGTAGGGCAGCTCAGACCTCTGCCTAGGTCATTTTCTTAGTCACATTGACACTCAGCCTGGCGTTAGTGTTGTATGTTAGTGTGCTCTCTTTACTGCTGTTATTAAGATATAAAGCTGTAGGGCATTTGCTTTAATAGTCTCTTCATATCAAGTGACATTTCAGTTCAAGTATCATACCTTTATTAGGATTGTTAATAGAAATTACTATTATACTATGCCAAACCTTGCTTATTTATCCAAAAGAAACATTAACTTTTAAAGTACTGAGAAACCTCCAAAGCCGCAGAGAAATCCTACCTCGAAAAACCAAAAAAAAAAAAAAAAAAAAAAAAAAAAAACAAAAAAAAAAAAAAAAAAAAAAAAAAAAAAAAAAAATACTGAGAAATCAACATGGTTTAAAATGAACAATTTAGAGGTCACATAATAAAACTTTTAATAGGGCTGGAGAGATGGCTCAGCAGTTAAGAAAACTGACTGTTCTTCCAGAGGTCCTGAGTTCAATTCCCAGCAACCACATGGTGGCTCACAACCACCTTGAAAGAGATCTGGTGCCCTCTTCTGGCATGCAGGCAGAAGAATAAGACATTTAATAAAATTTAAATCAATATAATATTGAAATATTTTCAAAGGTTTACATCATGTGACTTGGTGATTTATTTAATAGTTGAGGTTTTAAAAAGGAAAGTGCAAGATTACACAATTGTACAAACTAGTCCTTTTTTTGTTAGCATTATTGCCCATGATAGATGAGATGGTTATAGCTGAACACCCCAGCCCTGGCACTGCTTAGATCAGAATTAAACACATTTATTTACCACCAGAAAATGTCCACCATACGCATCAATCCTGTCAATCAATCATCCTGTGCTCTTATCAGTTCTTATGCTAGTGAGACGTTGTCAGCAAAAGAGTAGAAATTGTAGCCTTGGAGCAGTTCATTAACAGCTTGGAGCATCTCATTATCGGCTTCTTGGGTTGGTACTAATCGGAATTTAAAGCCTATTAAATAAACCTAGTAAATACATGTGAATAAGAAAGTGGAAAAACTGACAATTCTTGCTGGTAAAATGATTTATCAGTCACTCTCAAGTAGAAACAATGATAAAATAATCAGATCTGACAAGAACATGGCTCTTTTCGAAATGGAAACTACCAGTATTACTGTAAGTGAGTCTTGTCCTCCATCTTTGTTAATGACTCAGTTGTATCTTGAGAATTGAAACAATTCCAGGTACTTAAGAAAGGGGGATTTAGTATAGGTAATCAGCTATCACTATGACTACAAAATGGAAGGTTATGGTCATGACTACCAGAGATCTGCTGAAGGAAAAGGGAAGAAACGAAAATCCCCTCCACCAGCTAAACAATAAAACCTTGGAAATGTAGCCTGCAGGCCCTTCCACTATGACCACCACCACCAAGGTCTAGAGCTCACAGCTTTGACTATGAAAATAACTGGCCCTTAACCTTTATGGGTTTTGTACCTTATTATATTAGCTATTGGTAGTATGAACTTTTTGAGTTTGCAATACTTTTGAAAACTAAGTGTCCTAAAAATAGATGACTATTTTTATTCTTTTCAGATCACTATATTTTGAATGTAAATAATAAGGTGGTTTGTTTGTTGGTTTGTTTTTCTGATGCAGGGAGGTTATATTTTGGTGTGCTCATGTATATGTGTACATGTGAAAACCAGAGGTCCACATTGAATGTCTTCCTTGCTCAGTTACTGTCCATCTTTTTATTTTTTTTTTTTAATTTATTTATTAGTTCTAGTTAGGGAACAAGCTTGTTTCACATGTAAGTCCCTTCTCCCTCTCCCTCCCATCACCCCCATCCCTCCTTCCCCACCCCCAGCCTACCCCCCACCCCATCCACCCACCACTCCCCAGGAAGGGTAGGGCCCTCAACGGG